GTGTCCTTGTCTTTTCCGACAGCACGAGCTATTTCTCTCCAAGAATTATTAACAACATGTTGATCACGGTGATCTCTGAGAGCTGAATCATACAAATGTCTGTATTTACGAACCTCTGCCATACTAGTTCTTGCCAGTCCGCCATGTTTTTCCGCGTCCGACCGTCTGTGTGGTTAGAAAATTTCCTAGGTGTGCGTTGCGGAAATTTTGGGCCATGCAGAAGCGCGGTGGAGGGGCGTGGTTGTTAAAATGATGCAAAATGACGCAATTTTTCCGCACGGAGCCGTGCGGACCTCGCGGACGCATCAAGCATGAACCAATCTTAAGGCAGTGATAGACTAACCGTCCATTGTTAACGACTGCGTGCGCACAATCACAGTAGACTTACCACTCAAGAGAAGAGCTGACACAGATTCTGCAGCATTCTGGAGGATTTCTGTTAACCACCACTATTAGATGAAAAGGGGAGGAAGGTTTTCTTTTCAGGGAGGCGAGTGGCTCCGAGTGCCAGCGTGTCCTATCGGCAGGTGAGTAGCTGAGCCAGGTGGAGGGGCGGCTGTCTCACCCGGAGACCGGTGCGGTGCAGCCGCATAGTCATTTGCTGACGTCATGTTTTTCAGTTTAGCCATCAACCACAGCTGGTTCTATATAAATGTGGAGCAGAGTTTTAGCCTGAAGATGGAAATATAATTATGGATTTGGGCTGAAACATTACATTTAAAGTAAGTTGCAGTTAACTGCCACACTAATGATTACACATGTGTACAGCACCATTAGACACTCATCTATGCAGGTTATCAGCAAAACAAGTTAAGTTAGGCGTTACTCGCTCTTTATGTAACATTCTTGTTTTATTTAGGTAGAAAAACAAGTTTTTTTTGTTAAATAGTACATAAACCTGTTGCTGACAAATAATTAGTTTGTTTGAGAGGAAATGTACTTAAAACCAGGACAATACGCTTTCTGATGAGGGAATCTTAACTAAAACTACTCTGCTGCTTCAGAAGTTTATGGTTTCATTCTGAATCCACATTTTGTTCCAATGTTGACAACATATCACCAGCTCGTCGAAAACTTACATCACACATGTTCTTCCATGCTGTTTTCTGATTTGAATTCAGCTAGGCCGCTGGTGAGCAGATCAGTGTCTCTGAGGTTCTTCTGAGGGCTCAGGAGCTCTGTCTGTCCCCCACTCTCCTTCTGAGTCTATATCAGAGCTAAAATCCACCCAGCAGCTATGATTTAATACTATCTCATCACTACAGGGTTTATTAGATTACTATAGGACGTCAGGCGTTCACGGTGTTATTTCCAAATACAACCACTGGGGGGCGCAGTGAGTCTCCAAGTCAAACAGCCCTGCGCAGAGCATCGCTAATGATACATTCTCTTTATGGGAGAACTTTCGGGGTAATTAGCAACAATCGGACACACAGAAAATAACAAAAAATGGATTGACTGAAGTTTATCTGGTCGGTCACGTGGTTTTAACTTTTGAGGAAACTGTGAGAATCGGATCTTCCGTTTGTAAAGCAGCTAGAGCTCCTCTTGTTCAAACACTCCAAAGCCAATGTGGCGCAGCGCAACCCCCAAACTGTCCGCTCCAAGAAAACCCCCCGCAACAACAAGCGGAGCTGTGCAGCTCGGCACACAGGAGCGGACTTTAGAGGTTTTGGTGCTAAAATCTGAAGGTTTCTGCCGCAGTCGGACCGAAGGGATCGTGTTGTGTTCACAAACCTGCAGATTCAAGTTTCCGGGAACGCAGCTGTCCACGAGGACATTTTCTCCAGCGTGCCGCGGCTGACACCGTATGGGGGGGTTAGTCCGTGAGAGAGCATGGCAGCAGGAGCCACTACGCTGCTGACTTGGTTCGCCTCCGTTTAGACCCAGACAAGCGCTTCCCGTGCGCTCGGACCCGGGCAGGAGACCTGCGCGCGAGCCTTCGGCTGTGGTTCCTCTCAGGACGGAGTTCGCTGTGGAATCTAAGCAGCTGGTTCGAGTCATCTTGGAGGTCCGCAGAGAGGCCGGAAGACGGAATCGGAGCCGGACCGATCCGGTGCACATGAACGGCTTTACGCGCAGAGAAGCGTTTGTTTCGCCTCCAAATTTCTGCTGCGGGTTTGGTTCGGAGTTGGAGATCTGATCTCCGAGTTCCCGTCTGCTTGATGCGTGAAGATCTGAGGGAATGCTCTGCTCCTGCACAGACTGAGCCAGCTGATTTCAGAAAACCCTTCCGTAATAAAGGGGACAAGAATCAGGACCCGGACGGGAATTAAAGGTGGACCCGCTTCTTATCGTCTCATCGCAGAACCTTCTTCAGACATGCCTCAGGTGGAGACCGTCCTGGTTCTCATCCTCCTTGTTGGGATGTGCGCGTACGGCCAGGACCCGGCATCCAAGGTGGTCTCCGACCGCTACGCGGTATTCTGGAACCGGACAAATCCAAAGTAAGTAACCCGTGGCGCCGCCTGCGGATTTATTCCTTGTTTTAAAGTTATGAAACTAAAAGTGAATCTCCAGGGTTTTCGCGCAACAGTTGGAGCGGGTTCAGGTTTATTAACTAGAAAAGTGTTTCACCTGCAGCTGCGCGCGCTCCACTTTCACTCGTACTCACTCAGCGTTTTCATGACTGCATTGTTGTTCCATGGTGGTTTTTTTTCGAGTGTTTGAGATGAAAACGATGCATGTTTGGAAGAGAGTGAAAAGTCTGGTTCTGAAGGTTTTTAGATTATATTAGAAATTAACTTTGGTTAAAAGGAGCGTTTTTGTAGTTTATGGGTGCAGCAACAAACGTTTTATCAAAATGTGTGTGTGTGTGTGTGTGTGTGTGTGTGTGTGTGTGTGTGTGTGTGTGTGTGTGTGTGTGTGTGTGTGTGTGTGTGTGTGTGTGTGTGTGTGTGTGAGAGAGAGAGAGAGTCGGTGGTTCCCACCTTCCCAGAGACTGAGCCATCAGTGTCACTGTTCTCTCCCACATAGCTTTGGTCTTTGGCAAATTAAAATGTTCTTTTCGGGAACTGGTTTGTTGGGCTCCACAGACTTAATACACACAACCAATACCCTGGCCTGGAGCCACACACACACACACACACACACACACACACACACACACACACACACACACACACACACACACACACACACACACACACACACACACACACACACACACACACAGTTTGGTTTAAGTTGATGCCACTGTTGGTCGCCGCTCCACTGACTGATATCTGGCTCTGATGGTGACTCTCTGTCATGCTCCCAGGCTGCAGTGTGTTTTTCCAGATTTTGGCTTTCAGCTCCCGGATTCAAAGTCTGTTTCAATGGGTTGTAATGTCCCCCACCCCTCCAGGCCCATGCTGCGGAAAACAATGATGGGGGTACAGTGGGTATGCCAGCAGCAGCCAAGGCCCAGCGGGCTCCTGGGTCTTGGGAGAGATTCACACAAGCTGAGGTCACACATTCAACAGTAACCAGACAAGTGGCGAGTTCAGCAGCGCAGACGGGATCGTTGTCAGGTTCAGAAATGGGGCAATACCACCGGCCTCAGGGCCTGGTGACGGCCCCGGCACAGCAACCTGCCTGGGCTTTGTCTCTTCAGAATAGAGCCCAAATAAATGAGTAACTCTAAATGACTAGCTTCTTTTCTCATTCATGACTCTAGTCCAGACTTGTTAAATTTTAAAGTGGGTGGTGTTTAAAATCTGGGGGGCCCTGACCTGTTTAAAAGAAGCATACTCAGTGTTAGGAGCTCTGAGAACCTGCTGTGGTTCAGATCCAACTTCCAGATGAAACCTCCCAATGTTCAACGTTTGACCCAAGTGAAGAAAACTGGCATCCGGAGCAGCGGTCCATATCAGCCATTCATGAAATCCTCTACAGGAGAAGTGGGGAGTGAGTCGTGAACATGGAAATGCGGTGACATTTTCATGTTTTGTTTTCAAAATTAACTCCTTCTGTAATGTAGATAAACATGATCTCCCACTTGCAAGGCTTTGATGTGTGAGAGAAAGCCTGGTGGTGCTGATGGAGGACTCTGGGTGGAGGTGGGGGGTGTCACAGACCCCAAAGATGGGATGGAGGTCAGGAAGCTGCCATCAGAAAGGGTGTGATCTCTAATGGAGTTTTAGACTACAAACAAACTTCTGATCATTTTATAATCAACCAGTGTGCTGGAATTAATCATCCAGTCCAATCACGTCTGCATTAGTGAAGAACAGTTGGTTTGTTTCCGCTGGATACAAGACAAAAATATTTGTTATCGGCTAAAGTGAGGGTAAATGCATGGGTGGAGATGTATCCACACTTCCTGTTAGGAAAACGCTTCTGAAAGAGGCGTGGCCTGGCGGACCGAGCGAGCAGCACTGAGGCAGTGGTAGACCCTGACCCCCTCAAAATAAAAATTATCCTAAAACAAAATTAGATTAACATCAGAAAACATTAAGTCATAAGATTATGAAAATTCATAAACAGATGAAAGATTAAAAATTTGAGTTAAAATAAGAAAATAAAAGGTTTAGTTAAAAGCAGCTTTAAATAAAAGGGTCTTTAGCTGTTGAAAAGTGTCCAGACTGTCAACGCTGCATAAGGATAAAGGAAGATCATTCCAGAGTCGGGGTGCAACAGTCTGGAAGGAGCGATCACCTCGACTTTTATATCTGGTCTTTGGAACTTCTAGAAGGTTCTGGTGTGTGGACCTGAGGGCTCGGGATGGAGCATAAGGCTTTAACAGGTCAGTAATATAGGGAGGAGCTTGACCATGTAGAGCCCTGAAGGTTCTAGTCAGGACTCTAAAATGAACTCTAAAGTTAACGGGTAACCAGTGCAGACATCAGAATAGGAGCGATGTGTGCTCTTCTGTTTGCTCCGGTTAGGAGCCTCGCTGCAGAGTTCTGGATCAACTGAAGGAGGTCATGGGCTTTTTGTTAAACTGAGTGAAGAGTGTGTTACAGTAATCTAGATGGGAGGAGATAAAGGCATAGAAAACCATTTCAGGTTCATATTTTGACACCAACCTTCACAGTTTGGAGATATTTCTTAAATGATAAAATCAGTTTCAGACCAATGTTTTTGAGTGGCCTTCATTGATTGGTCAGAAACACCCAAATTCCTCAAGTTTGACTCAGGGGCGGAGCTATGGGTGGGCCTGGGTGGGCACAGGCCCACCCAGTTTGACAGAGTGCCCACCCACCAGGGGCAGGGCCAGGCAGTAGCTTGGTGTTGCTATAGCAACACCAAGATGTGGCCAAGCAAGCAACTGCTTAGCAACGCCAGTTATGTTGGAACAACAATTACAATATAAAATTATTATTTTAATGAATGTGCACTTTTTTCACTGTGTAATAAAAATACTTAAAATTTTATATCTGGTATTAATTTTAATCATATTATGAATAAGTTTTCCAGTTTGCTTGTTGGACTTGTAATTTGGTCTTTTATATATAAAAAAAGCAAATTGGCACCTGCTTCCTGACACTAAGCAACTATTAACCTACTGCAGAGAAAATATTCTGATGCCATCCCTGCTACCCAGTGAGGTTCATGATTTTTTTTTCTCAGAAGCGTCCTCCTGCCCTGGACTTTTCACAGCTGAACCGGGCATCTCCCGGAGTCTGCGGATGACATCATTGATATTGTCAGTGGTGTAAACTGAGAAAGGACTGGGTGTGAGGGGGAGACAGACGCGCAGATCCCGGAGGTGATGAGTCGTCGCGAACCGCGTCAGTGCGTTGCTGTCCATGGTCCTGAATGAGACAGAGCCCTTGAGAGCCAGTGAGGAGAGGGGGTGTGGTCGGAGGTGTATGCTGCTTAGTCAAGGTGTGTGTGTGTGCGTGCACGCGCTTGGATCGTGCTTGCTGATTATTCCCTGGTGGAGGGCGCGGTTGCTGAGAATCTGATCTGAACTCTGGTTTGCACCACCTCCTGCTGCATCCTGAGCTATCTGGAGCATGAAGAACAGTCAAAAATCCTGATTTTTGAAACATGCGGTGACCTCTGGCAAGATGCGGTCTTTTGGATCTTCAGCTCTTAGCTGATAGCCTGCAGCTAGGACGCTGAGACGAGCACAGCAGCATGCCTGGCTGAGATTAGAACCTGTCCAGGTTCCTGAAAGTTCACACGAGAGGGTGTGTAGGTCTTGGCCGAGAGCGGGAGTCCAGCGTCGATAACAGTCCTTAAAATTGAAATTTAACAAAGATTCATCGAATAAATATCTAATATATAATCTTCGTGGCTTGAGCAATTTTATTAAAACATGGAATTTTGATGTGCACGCACGCTGCGCACATCTCATATGAGCTTTGAAATTAATTAGGCCCATCCAGATTTTTCTAGGCCCACCCATTTGCTACGTTCTGGCTCCACCACTGGTTTGACTAGATGACAGAAGATAAATGACCAAGTTTTAGACTAATCAGGGGAACCATGCTCTCAGGGGCAATTATCAGACATTCAGTCTCTTCAGAGTTCAACTGAAGGAAGTCATCTTCTAGCCAGCTGGTGATCGCTGATGGGCACTCTAGTAATTCAGACAGTTTTTAGAACTCAGAATCCTTAAAGGAGCAGTACAGCTGAATGTCATCTGCATATAGGTGATAAGATACATTATGAAAAGAATCAAGTATCTGTCCAAGAGGTCGTATGTACAGCAGAAACAACAGTGGACCCAAAACAGAGCCTTGGGGTACCCCACAGAACAGATCAGTAGAATCTGACATGATTTGGTTTCTACAGACACTGTACCTTCTGTTAGACAGGTACAATCTAAACCAGTCTAGAACAGTTCCAGAGATCCCCACCGAGTCACCAAGCCTGATACTTAAGGTGCTGGGATCAACAGTGTCAGAAGCTGCAGAAAGATCTAACAATACTAACACTGTGAATTTACCGTGATGTCATCATGATGTCACTGGAAACTTTAAGCAAAGCTGTTTCTGTTGAACGCTTTTTACAAAAACCAGACTGGAATTTATCAAAACTGATGTGTAGTTCCAGAAAAGTAATCAGCTCATCCGCCACAACCTTTTCCAATATTTTAGAGATAAAGGGTCGTTTAGAAATGGGTCTGTAGGTTTTAGGCCGAGATGAGTCCAAACTTTGTTTTTTAAGGATAGGTTCAATAACTGCATGTTTGAAAACAGATGGTACAGAGCCAGATTGTAGAGATAAATGAATAAAATCTACAATGCAGTCAATTTGGTCAAACATCCTGATGAACAAGGTAGTAGTAATGAAATCAGCAGGGCATGAGGTTGGTTTCATGAGTTTCTGAATGAGGCAAATGTCCTGGAAATCTACAGGAGTAAATACAGACCATGGTTGGGAGGAAGGTGGTTGGATGGGGGGTAGGAATTAAAATTAAAATTCAAATTTTATTTTATTTGTCACATACACATTCATACACAGTACGAAATGCAGTGAAATGCCTTGCACAACTGCTCGTGACCTAAGAGTT